TGTGTGTATATATATGTGTGTGTGTGTGTGTGTGTGTGTGTGTGTGTGTGTGTGTGTGTGTGTGTGTGTGTGGGTGGGGCCATCCCAGTCTGCATCGAGGTCAGTCCTGATGGTGCCTTGTTAATGAGATGGGGGTCAAAGGGCAGTGCTGACCATAATGGAACGATCATGACTCCACACACACACTTAAAGAGAGTCTTTAGTGTTTCTCCAAGTGTCCTCGTCTTTATTGTTCTTTTCTTTTCTTTTTAGATATTACCCTCTGCATTGCTTTCCTCATTTGATCCCCGCCTTCCTCCCTCCCTCCTTCCCTCCCCCTCTCCCTCCAGGGCACTATTCTGTGTTGCCTCTCTATGAGAGGCTGCTATTTAAAACACTTAGAAGTGATTTAGTGCCCACGGAGGCTATTCCATTAGCTGCTCTATGTATTTATCACAGCTCTCCCGCTCTCAGTAGATTGCTAACTCTACAATTTTCTTGCCTTCCCCCTTCTTCCCTCTCTCTCTCTCTCTCTCGCACACATTTCTCTTCTCCTCTCTGAAAACTTTATTATGAGACATTAGCATAAGTGACATGAACAAATAAGAAGTTCCTCCGCCTTTATTTTGAAAAACCTCACAACATCAACTGTATGGCTATTAGGTCAGCAGAATTTAAAACGCTGATGAGCTCTCCGTGTCCCAACAGGACGGCCGGTTGAGCGTCAATGACCAGATGATCGCGGTAAACGGCGAGTCGCTGCTGGGACGCTCCAACCACGCTGCCATGGAGACTCTGAGGCGCTCCATGTCGTACGAGGGGAACGCCAGGGGAACCATCCAGCTCGTAGTGCTCCGGACGTCCAGACAGGTACTTGCAGAAGGCAGAGAGGTTGACATCAGTGTCATACTTTTGTTAAATGTTTAAAAAAAATGTGATGTCAATACATTTAAAACCTTTAAATTCCCTTAAAACCACAGACTGGTACCTCTCCTGTCATCTACTTCCTGACAGTTGGTTCCTCTTGAGGGTTTGCTGGATGTGGGGCAACGCGTTAGACTGTTCAGACTCCCCGAGTTTGGATGAATTTGGTTAGGTGAAACATTTAGGGACGCTTATGCATTATGGAATGCTCTGCACTGCCTGACACGTTCAAAGATTATTCATAAGCGGCGACCAGAGTTTTGACGGCAGGATGAATGACATGTGGATGATACCGCTCCCCTGTTATGATGCTGTGAGGCTGAGAGCGAAGATGCTCTGCTCTACGTACTGGGAGCAGCTGACCTACATGCACATGCGTGTCAGCAAACATGAAAGAGACCGCAGCCCAGTTATTCGCTGAACACCCGGCAGTTTGCTCCAAATTATTATTATTTTTTTCTACAGATGGGCAGTGGCAACCCAGCACCGAACACGGCGACAAACGGGTCCGCCACCCATCAACCGAACAACTACGCGGCCTCCAGCAATCAGGTACGAGCGAGTGATGCCCGCCCCCATCACCAGGAGGAGCCGCCTCCGCCCCGCCGCTCCTCCTCGCTCATCCCGGCGCTGAGGAGGCGAGCGTGGTACGAGTTCGGGTTCGTCTCTCACAGTCAGACACTGAGCAGCTTCGACAGACACGCAGAGGGAAACTTAAACAGGGAAAGGTACGATCACGGATACGCACGCGGCCGAACGCTCGCAGACGCGGCCGACAACGCGCGCGGCCACGCGTACGCCGACGCCCAGGGCCGCAGGTCCGGGCACGCACGCAGCCACACGCCGGACGCCGTCCACGGCGGTCGCGGCAACACGTACACCGAGAACATCAGGGCGATGGCCGGGCAGATGTACGGAGAGCCACCCACACACAGCAGGGTGCACACCCGCAGCCCCAACCGAAACGCACGAGCGTCCGCAGACCGATACCTAGACGCACACGCCCATAACTACGCACACAACCGAGCTCTCACCAGACACCAACACCTCCAGCTGTCTGGTGGACTCTGACACTGTGTGTGTGTGTGTGTGTGTGTGTGTGTGTGTGTGTGTGTGTGTGT